CACACACACACACACACACACACACACACAAAGTCTACTTACAACAGCAAAATATTATGGCTTCCATTTGAAATAATTTTGTAGACCCACATAAAAATGTCTTTAAAACTTTTTGAGGACATAATATAACAGGAGTAAAGCTGCCAAACCAATTCTTAACCTAGAGGACATCATGACATAAAAACCTCAGTGACTACAGAAATTCGGTGCAATCGAAATGTAAAAGTTTTAAATTTTTAAAAATTTACATTTTTAAATTTAAATTTTATGTATTCACATACAAACTGAGAATTATCTTAAAAGTCAATTTTGTGTCAATTTTGATTTTGGGTGGGGCTATAGCCAAAACAATTTGGAACAGAAAAAACATGAAAGTAGGTCAAATTCTATCTGAAAATACATTATCTGAAACTTTAATGTTTATTTTTGAGAGAGACACAGAACATGAACAGGGGAGGGGCAAAGAGAGAAAGACACACAGAATCTGAAGCAGGTTCCAGTCTCTGAGTTGTCAGCACAGAGTGGGGCTCAAACTCACCAGCTGCAAGATCGTGACCTGAACCAAAGTCAGACGCTTAACCAACTGAGCCATCCAGGCATTGCTACATTATCTGAAACTTTAACACAATTGAAATGAAGTACTTAAAATAAACAATATTCAATGCTATATTACAACTGAATGGGACATAACACTTTTAAATGTGCAATAGGTGATGCCTTCCACAGGAAAAATAAAAAGCATGAAGAAAGGATTTTGGTTCACCACAAAAACATAATACCAAAGTGCGTAAGTGCCTGTGTGTATATCGTTAAATCACAAAATAAAAAATAGTATGTAAATGCACATCAAAAATGAATTAGAGGGGTGCCTAGGTGGCTCAGTCGAAGCATCTAACTCCTGATTTCAGCTCAGGTCATGATTTCATCGTTTGTGAGAGTGAGCCCCACATCAGGCTGTGCTGACAGCATGGAACCTGCTTAGGACTCTCTCTCTCTCTCCTCTCTTTCTGCCCCTCCCCTGCTTGTGCTCTTTCTCTCTCTCTCTCTCTCAAAATAAATAAATAAAGAATTGGAAAAACAATTAATTATACATAGGTCTACAAAAACGAAAAAAAATTATACATATGTCTAGTGAAACGAAAATAAAAACAAAGGGTTGTCATTTCATCCAAATCTGTATGTATGTATGCACATAATGTGTATATGTAATTAATTCCTGGGTTTTGCAGGGGGGGATGCCTCAAGAGTTGGTCAGTGATAAAGATTTCCTTGCAGTTT